TTAAGGACACTGACTGCTATTCAATCTATAACAGTGAAAAAAGTTTTGTGGTTTTAAATGCAAGCTATTGTGACACCAGTGAGTGAGTGGTGGCATTGGGCACAGTATCCACTGTGAGCCTGACACACCCGCTTTAATGACACTGACTGCTATTCAATCTATAACAGTGAAAAAAGTTTTTTGTTTTTAAATGCAAGCTATTGTGACACCAGTGAGTGAGTGGTCGCACTGGGCACAGTATCCACTGTGAGCCTGACACACCCGCTTGAGACAACTAACTGCTATTCAATCTATAACAGTGAAAAAAGTTTTTCTTTGTAAAAGCACGCTATAGAGACACCAGATATGAGTAGCAAAGTACACGGGCAAAGGTCTGCAGAGCACACGCCGAAGGAGGCCTGACACCCGCTTTAAGGACACTGACTGCTATTAGCTTACACTGAAAAACTTTTTTTCTTTGTAAAAGCACGCTACAGAGACACCAGATATGAGTGGCAAAGTACACGGGCAAAGGTCTGCAGAGCACAAGCTGAAGGAGGCCTGACACCCGCTTTAAGGACACTGACTGCTATTAGCTTACACTGAAAAACTTTTTTTTTCTTTGTAAAAGCACGCTATAGAGACACCAGATATGAGTGGCAAAGTACACGGGCAGAGGTCTGCAGAGCACACGCTGAAGGAGGCCTGACACCCGCCTTAAGGACACTGACTGCTATTAGCTTACACTGAAAAACTTTTTTTTTGTAAAAGCACGCTATAGAGACACCAGATATGAGTGGCAAAGTACACGGGCAGAGATCTGCAGAGCACACGCTGAAGGAGGCCTGACACCCGCTTTAAGGACACTGACTGCTATTAGCTTACACTGAAAAACTTTTTTCTTTTGTAAAAGCACACCATAAAAGACACCAGATAAGGTGCAAAGTACACGGCAGAGGTCTGCAGAGCACACGCTGAAGGAGGAGTCGACACCGCTTTAAGGACAATTGACTGCTATTACCTTACACTGAAAACTTTTTTCTTTGTAAAAGCACGCTATTGAGACACCAGATATGAGTGGCAAAGTACACGGGCAAAGGTCTGCAGAGCACACGCTGAAGGAGGCCTGACACCCGCTTTAAGGACACTGACTGCTATTAGTTTACACTGAAAAACTTTTTTTCTTTGTAAAAGCACGCTATAGAGACACCAGATATGAGTGGCAAAGTACACGGCAAAGGTCTGCAGAGCACACGCTGAAGGAGGCCTGACACCCGCTTTAAGGACACTGACTGCTATTAGCTTACACTGAAAAACTTTTTCTTTGTAAAAGCACGCTATAGAGACACCAGATATGAGTGGCAAAGTACACGGGCAAAGGTCTGCAGAGCACACGCTGAAGGAGGCCTGACACCCGCTTTAAGGATACTGACTGCTATTAGCTTACACTGAAAAACTTTTTTTCTTTGTAAAAGCACGCTATAGAGACACCAGATATGAGTGGCAAAGTACACCGGCAGAGGTCTGCAGAGCACACGCTGAAGGAGGCCTGACACCCGCTTTAAGGACACTGACTGCTATTAGCTTACACTGAAAAACTTTTTTTCTTTGTAAAAGCACGCTATAGACACACCAGATATGAGTGGCAAAGTACACGGGCAAAGGTCTGCAGAGCACACGCTGAAGGAGGCCTGACATCCGCTTTAAGGACACTGACTGATATTAGCTTACACTGAAAAACTTTTTTTCTTTGTAAAAGCACGCCATAGAGACACCAGATATGAGTGGCAAAGTACACGGGCAGAGGTCTGCAGAGCACACGCTGAAGGAGGCCTGACACCCGCTTTAAGGACACTGACTGCTATTAGCTTACACTGAAAAACCTTTTTTCTTTGTAAAAGCACGCTATAGAGACACCAGATATGAGTGGCAAAGTACACGGGCAGAGGTCTGCAGAGCACACGCTGAAGGAGGCCTGACACCCGCTTTAAGGACACTGACTGCTATTAGCTTACACTGAAAAACTTTTTTTCTTTGTAAAAGCACGCTATAAAGACACCAGATATGAGTGGCAAAGTACACGGGCAGAGGTCTGCAGAGCACACGCTGAAGGAGGCCTGACACACGCTTTAAGGACACTGACTGCTATTAGCTTACACTGAAAAACTTTTTTTCTTTGTAAAAGCACGCTATAGAGACACCAGATATGAGTGGCACTGTGAACTGGCAAAGGTTCGCAGAGTACACGTTGTAGGCCTGACACACAGACGCTTGGAGACAGCTAACTGCTATTCAATCTTTAACAGTGAAAAAAGTTTTTGGGGTTTTTAAATGCAAGCTATTGTGACACCAGTGAGTGAGTGGTGGCACTGGGCACAGTATCCACTGTGAGCCTGACACATCCGCTTTGAGACAACTAACTGCTATTCAATCTATAACAGTGAAAAAAGTTTTTTGGTTTTAAATGCACGCTATTGTGACACCAGATATGAGTGGCACTGTGAACTGGCACAGTATTCACTGTGAGCCTGACACACCCGCTTTGAGACAACTAACTGCTATTCAATCTATAACAGTGAAAAAAGTTTTTAGGTTTTTAAATGCACGCTATTGTGACACCAGTGAGTGAGTGGTGGCACTGGGCACAATATCCACTGTGAGCCTGACACAGACGCTGGCAGACAACTAACTGCTATTCAATCTATAACAGTGGAAAAAGTTTTTTGGTTTTAAATGCAAGCTATTGTGACACCAGTGATTGAGTGGTGGCACTGGGCACAGTATCCACTGTGAGCCTGACACACCCGCTTTGAGACAACTAACTGCTATTCAATCTATAACAGTGAAAAATGTTTTTTGTTTTTTAAATGCACGTTATTGTGACACCAGTGAGTGAGTGGTGGCACTGGGCACAGTATCCACTGTGAGCCTGACACAGAAGCTGGCAGACAACCAACTGCTATTCAATCTATTATAGTGAAAAAATTTTTAGTTTTTTTTAAATGCAAGCTATTGTGACACCAGTGAGTGAGTGGTGGCACTGGGCACAGTATCCACTGTGAGCCTGACACAGAAGCTGGCAGGCAGGCAACTGCAATTACATTACACAGAAAAAAAAAGCAGACTGATGTTCTAGCCCTAAAAAGGGCTTTTTGGGGTGCTGTCCTTACAGCAGAGATCAGATGAGTCCTTCAGGACTGTAGTGGACACTGTATACCCTAACCTAGCTATGCATTTCCCTATCTAATCAACAGCAGCTACACTTTCCCTCCTCTCACTAAGCATGCAGCTTGAGAATGAATGTAAAATGGATGCCTTCCAGTAGGTGGGAGGGTCTGCTAGGGAGGGTGTGCTGCTAATTGGCTGGAATGTGTCTGCTGACTGTGAGGTACAGGGTCAACGTTTACTCAATGATGATGAATAGGGGGCGGATCGAACCGCGCATATGTTCGCCCGCCGTGGCGAACGCGAACATGCTATGTTCGCCAGGAACTATTCGCCAGCGAACCATTCGGTGCATCACTAAGTGCTAGGCACTGTTCTGTTCATTAATGAAAATGTTAATAACCAGTTTTTATACGTTAAAAAAAAAAAAAAGTAGTTCAACACAAGACACCTGGCAGGTATTGAGAGTGAGAGGCAGCTTAATTAATAGAGGGAATATTTGACAATTAGGTAACCAATCGAAGGAACCGTCAGGTTAGCACCACATTTAAATTTACATGTATGAGCGGGGTATGTAACTTGCAACCAATCCGTATCAAATGTATAAACCCATGTTATCATATTGTTTTGCCTTACAATGCGATGTTGTTACATATCCTATATTTATATTATATTATTTATATTATACTATTATATTCTACACTATACACCAACAAAAGGATTAGTGCTAAAAAAAAATTTTTTTTTTTTACATTTATTAGAGTCATAACTTATGATACATAATAACTAACACATAAAAGCTAAACAAACTTCCTTTCATCATGATTATAGTAGTATAATCTTTCAGGATATCTGTTCCAAAACATTTCGTGGCATTAGTGGCCACTCTTTGTCTTACTGCATTAATGTCCATCTTACTACTTGGCTCTAATATCCCTCTTACACTTGAGAAATAAAGAATAAATACAGAATAGGAATTAAGAGTGCACAGGAAGAAGCTCTAAATACGGAAAAAAAAAATATATATATGTATATACATAATATTTGGCTGCTCAACACTAGTTAGGTTTAGCAAATGAAAGATAAGATCCGTATGAGTGGAGCGCCAAATCAAATTGTTCTATATATAGCAGATGAGAGAAAGGATAAGACAAATAGGAAACCTAACCACCTATTAATAAAATATCCTGGAAAAGATATCCTGAAAGATTATACTACTAAATACAATAAGAACTTTCTTTTCCTAAAATTAGAGAGATTATTAAAACAAGAACTAAAAATACTTCAACAGTATATTATAGACAACATTACTCCAAGAGGTCTGAGGCTGTTTAAGGATCCAGCATTCTCAATAGAAGATCTTGAGTTGAAGGAAAGATGGTATGAAGCAAATGGAGGATTGTTCCTTCATCTTCATAGACATCAGTATAGAATGCAGGAGAAAATAGCTTATACAATTAGACCATGACATTAAGGAGATACAGAATATTCTGGAGCCCTTGTTGGAAGCAGGCAACTCACAAGAAAGGATTGTGAAAATATCAGAGAGTGTAGACGGGTTGGAAGAAGAAATTAAGAAAACTAAGAAAAATAAATTCCTACGTGATATGGAAGACTATAAGAATGACAGAGTCAGAAACTTCCATAAGAGATATAACACACAGTACAACAAGGTGAATCATTATGATAAGCAGAATAACCATGAATTCGATAGGAATCATCGTAAGTATCAACTGGAAAATAGAAATGTAAGGCATCCAAACTCAAGGAACAACCAAGCAGCACAAGACAATCATAACCTTATCCCAGTGAACAAAGACAGAAGGGGCAATGAGAAATTGAGAAACATCAAGAATATGGGCCCCGACCAACAAGTAAGGAGGAGAATACAACCTACGGTACAGAGGGAAATAGAAATACAGAATAGAGAAAACAACAACTACAGAGCATCAGGAAATACAGGAAAATGGACACAGAAGAAGACTATCAATTCTAATACAGAAAGGAGGAAAGAGATAAGACAAGAGAACAAAGATAAAGAAGGAACACCTGAAATAAGAAGATCAGAAGATCTTCCCAGAGCAGGCAACAACATAACCATACAAGCAGAGATCCATAATCCATCAGGAGAGGAGTTTTTTTTTAGGGAAGAACACAAGAGAAATCACATCATGGTTTCACCCGATGACACCAAAAAGAACAAAAAGGAAAGAACAAGCCCAGGAGGAATAGAGGAGGCAGAAGAGCCGGAAACAAACAGGAAAAGGAACAAGAGGAACCATTAGGAATATTCAATCTTGCAGGGATTGCATTATCTTCTCAACACATTACAGCATTAAACAAAGGTTTAAAGTTTGCTCCAACAGCACATGTCAATAAATTCAATGCCACCATAGATGTGAAAAGATTCATCAGGAAAGTGAGCATCAGGAAACATTTTGAACAAATGACAGATTTTCCAAAGAGAGAAGAACCTGCGAGTGTTTTTCAACATATTAATTTAAACCTACTTCTACCTTCTACCCTATCACCCAGGTCTCTGCTGGGATGCAGATGTTTGAGGAGTTAGTTATAAATGACATAAGAAAAATGAAGAGGAACAATTACCAATAACCTCAGTAAAAGAGTAGTAGAGGCAATAGAAGATCTAGCAACTAACAGTGAGATCTGCATCAAACCAGCAGACAAAGGAGGAGGTATCGTTATCATGACTAAGGAATATTACATGCAAGAGGCAAACAGACTACTGGGAGACATGGATACCTATGAGATACTGCCGAGAGACCCATTGGCTGAAATACAGAAAGCACTGAAGAATTTGCTTGTGAAAGCCAAGGACATAGGGATCTTGAAGGAGGCAGATTTTTGGACATGAATTTTCCAAGAACACCTACATTCTATTTCTTTTTATTCCTTCCTTCAGCCATATGTGTTTGACGTCAAGTCTCATTTGAAAGATACTACGCAGATGATTCATGAACTGGCTACCATAACATGGAATGAGAACTCTACCCTAGTATCTATGGATGTTACTTCATTGTACACCATAATTGAGCATGAACAAGTGTGTAACTCCGTAATGAATACACTAAAAAGAACTGGAAGACTGACAGATGCCCAGATTACCTTTATTATAGATGGTATTGGATTTATACTTAAGAACAATTATTTTCTGTTTGAAGGTCAATTCTATTTACAGAAAAGGGGTAATGCGATGGGGATGAAATTCGCCGCTAGTTTCGCCAATATGTTTATGGGGGAATGGGAAGAGAATCACATCTGGAATACCCAACCCTGGAATGGCAATATCCATAACTATAAAAGGTATATAGACAATATCTTCTTCATTTGGGAAGGAGATATAGAAGAATTACAAAAATTCCTTGAATATACATACAAAAACAACTGGGGAGTAACATTAAATACAGTTTACAGTAGATCAGAGGTTGAATTCCTGGATCTCACCATTTACATAAAGTCTGGTACAATCAAAACTAAAACCCACTTCAAGGAAGTTGATGATAATAGCTTTATCTTAAAAGAAAGCTGTCATCTTCCTACATGGTTGAAGAACGTTCCATATAATTAATTTAGAAGACTAAGACGAAATTGCACAGACCATCAAGTGTTTATAGAACAAGCAAAAAGTGTGAGAGATACATTTTTAGGCAAAAATTACGATTCTTCGGAAGTACATAATGCACTTGTGAAGGTAGAAAAACTAGAACAGAGTGATCTTCTGAAAAAAAAAAAAGAAAGATAGAGACATCAGAGCCAGATAATAAGTTTCCAGCGATAATCCTAGATTATAACAAGGAAAACGCTCAACTTAAGAAGATACTTAGAAAACACTGGCATCTACTGAAGAAGGACAAACTACTTGCAAGTAGCCTACCAGAAAAACCACGTATAATCTTCAGGGGAGCTCAGAACATCAAGAGGAAATTAACCAACAATCACCTCAAAAGAAAAGAAGAAAACACAGGATCAAAGAAAAAAGGCTTTTTCTACTGTCAGGACTGTATCACCTGTAGAACTAGTAAGATGAAATTGACGAAAGGGGTATACGAGATTCCAAAAAGAAATTCAAGCAAGTCAAATGAAAATTTTAAGATTAGGGATTTCATTACGTGCCAAAGTACTAATGTGATCTACGTACTGGAGTGCCCATGTGGGCTCCAGTACGTAGGGAGGACCAAAAGGAAACTATACATCAGAATTAGAGAATATATGCTGAACATCAAAAAGAAGTACCTACACCACACCGTATCAGCCCACTTAGGGCAATACCATCAATCAGACATGGCTATTTGTAAAGTGAAGAAAAATTGGACAGGTGGGGATTACAATAAACAACTAGGAATAGAGGACATGAAATGGATCTATAACTTGGATACACTACAACCAAATGGATTAAATGCCGAGTTTGAATTGTGCCATTTTTTAGGTTGAACCTCCACCTCTCCATTGATACACTTTCCCTTTAGGTAAGATAGCTAGAGATAGATAGTTATCGAGACGACTAGAGAATTTTAATGTCCTCTTTGAGTCTTAAGCTGGAGCAACTGTGTACTCTATTATGTCCAAAATCCCCTCTGTCCCTTTTAGCCTCCAGCCGTAGCCACTGAACATTCCATCATTCTTTCTGGAATAAATTTGTTTTCTCTGTCTCCCTTCTTTTCTTTCTGGGTTTTCATTTACTTGGACCTGGTAGTGTGTATTCTGTGCTAAATTCCTCATTATTGATAGACTCTTCATTTCTTTATATTTTATTTTTTTTTGTATTTTATGAGAATGACGTGGTCTCTTTAAGATATTATGACATTGTAATGTGCGAATATATAGAGCTATACATCTATGTATGCATAATAGAAGTGTCTCATAATTAAGTAATTGTAGCCTCAAGTGAGGTGCAAAGACACAAGAGGTGTACAAATAAGAAGTGTCAAAAGCAATGGTTATTTACTACATGATTTTTAAGATTTTTTTATTATAAACTTTTTATAATTTTTTTTTTTTATCTATGATTTCCTCTCAGTTGTCTAATATACATATGTGAATTCCCTTATAATCATGTTTGAATATTTCCTGTTCTTCTGATTCCCTGCATGTGATTTAATTATGAACTATTGTACATATGTGTATTTTGAGCAAATGACAGTTTGGTTTTAAATAATCCCAGGCGGGAGTAATTATAGCAACATTCAGGGAATATTAATGCATTTTTAACTATAGATTAAAATAAGAAGGGTGCATGATGTTAAACATTGTATCAAAAAATGTAACAGAGTGCAATCATTATATATGTAATACATTGTATATCAATGTTGTTGCAAATTGAATGATTATGCTGCTATATAAGAAGAGAGGAAAAAGCAGTCTGCATCCATTGAAAAAGCCGCAGTAGCGGCGAAACGCATTTGGAGAGGACTGCACGTTCATCAGAGCCAGCACTGAGCCCATGCCCTTACGTTGGTAACCAGTATATTTCCACTCTTTACTGACTCGGGACACCGAGTAATACATTTAAGGTCAGCACTTCTCATGCTCTCTCTGTTTTAGAGATTATATAGATGAAAGGAAGTTTGTTTAGCTTTTATGTGTTAGTTTTTATGTCTCATAAGTTATGACTCTAATGAATTAAAAAAAATAATAATTTTTAGTACTAATCCTTTTGTTGGTGTATAGTGTATAATATAAATATAGGATATATTAACTAATTTCTGCACTTTTATCTTCTAGAAAGATATTTTGTAGATTGACAGAGATCAAGGGTATTTCATTATATTTTTTATGTATTTTATTAATAAGTTGTTAGGTTTCCTATTTGTCGTATCCTTTCTCTCATCTGCTATATATAGAACAATTTGATTTGGCGCTCCACTCATACGGATCAAATAAATAAAGTAACCTTTACATATATATGTTAAAGGGCCATTAGGCCTGAATTTGTGGGAGGAGTTATGGCCCCTACTTAAACTCCTAGCCCCTACTCATTTCATTCGTTAATTTCTTTCGTGCGGTCAAACAGCAGACCGCAGACACTATGTATGAATACAGTTCTTATGATTCATGTATTTTTAAGTCGAACGCCAGCCTGTCTCACTGTTTAAATACCCCTTTTTTCTTGCACCAAGTTATAACTTATTACACCGTTTGTAATACGAACAAAGTGATCACTGTATCTAGTATACTTACCCGTTCGTCCACTTCAGCGGTTCGTGCGGTATCCTATACTGCAGTATCAGGTATAGTGGTTTACTCGTTACAGCTATCTTGCCCCGAGGACTCATTCAGCCTCCACGGGAAAAACCTCACCGCCCTCCCTCCCCCAGGGGGGTTCTTCAAACTACAGCATGGGTCACATTGAGACCCCTCACTACGACCTCATCCATAATCCCCACCCAACCAATATCACTCTGCTTCTGCAAATTAATAACTGTACATCACTCATTTTGTTATTTCTACGTTTATTACCTAGACCTGCGTTAATACCGCAGTCCCTGCAAGCTTCCTGCGCTTTCAACCACCGACAGCCAACCTGGTATCCTGTATTTGAATACCAGGTATTGTTAATCTAACTCACTACAATTTTTTTCAGAATGTCACAAGAATAAATTCCCATCGATGATTTACCATCAGATGAAGTACCCATCACGCCAACCAGACCCGGGTGTCCAGAAGAATCCCTCACCCCCTCTACCCCCATGTCCCTGAGATCTTGGACTATCCCAAAAATTGCAGCTGAACTTAGACTTAGGGGTATTCCCTTTTCAGCCACTGCTAGAAAGGCAGAGCTATACAGACTGTTGACGGCTAAGGCCAGTGAAGCTGTTTGACATTTTTGCTAAAACGCTCTGTTGGCTTTTCCTAAACATAATTAGGTGTCCATCTGTTATCCACTATTTGGACGGTTTTTGTTGGTAGAACTGGGGTCACACACACCAAGTAGCATTCACAACACCACAGCCCTCTTCACTATACTAGGGGTACCCCTGTCACCAAGCTTGTTTTCTTGGGCATCATTTTGGACACAGTATCCTTCCAAGCCAGCCTAACACCTGAGAAATTGACCCACATTAGGGATGAAATCGGTCTGTTTCTGCGGAGTGATACTTGCACCAGAAGGGTACTCCAGTCCTCCTCTATTACCTTTATGAGGCTGGTACACAAGCTGACTTGGATGGCAGCAACCACTCAGTTTCACTTAGTCTGCATTTACATTCCTGGTATTCGTAACACAGCTGCTGATGATCTTTTCCGCTCTCAAAGTGCTTGACATCTT